TACAGTATTTTTTTTAAGCTTATTAATCTCGAAACATTATTTTGTGTGGTTTCACATTTCATTCGAGTCTATTGCCATGCGGCAATGTATCTGCCTCTTATTCATAAACAAACTAAGCTCTTTAAAAGCAATAGATGCAAATTAATTACATTTTAATCGAGCTGATTTAATTAAAAATAAATGTAATTCATGATATATCTAATTAAGAACATTAAATATTTTTGAGTAACAGTATACATTTTTTCACTTTTCAAATGTGCAGAAGATACATAACATTCCCATGTTAGTCTAAATGTATATTCATGTAATATCCGGTAAAATGCTTCATTATTCCACCAATGCCAGGGTTCTCAATCAGGGAAGAATTCTCCCCCGGCGGGGGGAAATGTCATGGTTTCAGGAAAATACGATCAGCCTTTTATTCAGCTGGTAAGTTTTTAGTTTCAGTTTATAAATATAAAAACTGCTTTTATTTAATTAGTATTTATCAATATTTTCTGTGCTTTTTCTTGTTTAAGTAATAAAATATATTGAAATAATCTAAATTTTCATAAATGTGTATGTATTTTTCGACTTATGGAAAGGAGGGGGAGGATAATCGGTAAAATGGTAGTAATGATAAAGGGGTTGCATAGAACAAAAAAAGGTTGAGAAGACTCTGACCTAGTCCATCTATCGCTATTGATAATCTGTACTGATATAACGTTTTAAACTTTATAAAAGGCCCTTTGGGCCGACCGTTAAAACCTAAAACCATTTTTATTTATTTATTTATTTTCCTGGGGATTATTAGTTTACGTTAGGTAATTTTTTAAGATTTAAGCCATATGAAGGACACCTGGTAAGATATCATCAATCTAAATACCATAACATTAAAAAGTATCTAATCTTCAGCAATAATAAATGTGAAATACATATATTTTGGCATAGTCTTCCTGATGAATTGTGTCTAAAAATTCTTTAAAAACACCTCCTTATTATGACTTGGAATTACAAGCTTTAGAACAATTATTTATTCTTCTGAAATTAGTGAACCTTAGACGGGAATTCATTTTTACAAAAAACTCATGCCGCGATTCATAGTTTTTCCGGCAGAAAATTAAGTTCAGTCTAAGGCTGAATATGGCTGAATTGTGAGTTTTAAATTCGAATGCTTCTCTTCAAATATAAACATACAATTTTCTTATTTCATTAATGAAAATATAAATCACTGTATTAAATTAGAAATTAAAATCCTTGAGTGTATTCATAAGAACTATTAATCCTCACTTGTTATCTTTTAATCTCTTATCTTCTAATTTCTAAAGCTTTCGTTTATTTGAATATGCCAGCGATTAATTTCTAACGAAAGTTACTAATTTCATTTATCATAAAATCTAGAAATTTCCGGAGAGTTTTAATTTGTATATTATTAAAAGAAATCCGAGGTGACTTAATGGCTAAAATGAATGATCCCATATATGAAAATCCGGGAGACGATTTAGAGTAAAACCTTGCTCTCAGGATCACAAACAGTTTTAAACTGTTTTGATCATCTAGATTTTGAATTCCTCAGACCATCAGGAAAAGTAGTTGCCTTGCAGAACTGACATTTAATGCTATGTTTATTTACGTTTTCAGAAATATTGGTACTTTGAAATATGGTTCATCTTAAGGAGGAGCTCAGCTCGAAAAGCTTTATTGTCTTAAAGTAGATCGACCTCTTGCAATCCTCTGTTAAAAATTTAATGAAAGTTTTTCCCCCCCTTCTGAAGAATTAGTGTAATATACTACAATATAAACGTAAATTTCCTGAAAAGTCTATGATTCCTGAAAAGATTCCTGAAAAGTCTATGAGATACCCGTTTTTTCTGCATTTAATAGTTCCAACACATCTTATGGACAATGTAATTATCAAAACAATTCAATAATTAAAGAAATTTGATGCATCATTAAAACTGATTAAATTATTAAAATAAAAATCAGTGTTTTTGAAAAGCACACAATCTTAGACCTGATTGCAGAAAACCTTTTACATATAAAATACCTGATCAGTTTGGCAGTTTTGTTTACTCTAATTGCTACTAATGAGACATCAAATTAAGCTGAGTTAATTCGAACTATCAAATCAAATAAAAGAATCAAATTTTTAAATCAGTTTTTTTTTCTTAATCTATAGCTTACTTTTAACTGACACTTATGGAACATAAAAATGTAAGAGAAGAAAATAATATTGCAGTAAATTCATTTCTAGGCATTGTAAATAATTATTTTTTTGGCATGAGTATATATTAAAAGGAGAAAATGAGATTAATTTATAAGGGAATTTTCTTTTATGTACAGTTTCTATTTATATTAAAAACCTAATGTTCATATCAACAATATCAAAATATAATACATGAAGTTACATCTTCATTAATGTAAAATTAATTGGCAGGTTGACTACCGCGGGCATTTTGCGTGATTTACCCTTGGCGCCAACATGAATTTTTTATTAGATGTCACCTACATAAAATAAGGTGAGTCACCTACAGAAAATAAGGTGAGTCACCTACAGAAAATAAGGTGAGTCACCTACAGAAAATAAGGTGAAGACAGAAGGTGAAAATAAGGTGAAGACAGACGTCACCTACAGAAAATCAGGTGAGTTATATAACCGAGTGTAATGCATTTTTCGTGTTGGGGGTCACCGGCGACCCTCCCAGGCATTGTAAACCATTTTTACTATTTATTCTTCTTCAACCATTATAGCAACAATGGTATTATTTAAAAATTTATCAATATCGATATTTATTCTAATTATGTATTTTTACTATTGGCCGCGTCACCGGTCACCACCACAGGTCTGCAGCCAAGTCGAGGGCTCCAGCTGGTCACCAGTGACTTCACCCCATGGTGTTAATGTAAATTAATTATTTCTCTTCATAATGTCATATTTCTCAAACGAGCTGATGATTCTGATTCAGAAAATAATGGCCTGCATCCAGTCGTATGATAACTAGTACTTTAAGTAATATGACCTAACTTAATTTTAATTCACTTGAAAAGGCGACCCTACAAAGCAACGAATATTTTTATTAATAAATGTAAATTTTAAGTAAAGTTATTCTAATGTTTTTATTTTGTAGATAATGACTTCTAAAGTTACTCACAAATTAATTTAATTACTAATTAAATTATATTATTCTATCATTAACATAAATGACCATTTAATTAGCGAAAACTTATCTAAAATAAATTAGAAAGATACAGCAAAGACAAGTCAAAAGTAATTAAAACCTTTACTTGGTTTTGGGGAACTAAATGAAATTCTTACAGGAAACACAATCTCGTTTAAAAGTGAGCTGCATTTATATGTGAAAATTCCAGTGATCAAAACAAGTAATTTTTCCTCTTTCAGAATTCTCTACAAATTTCGGTAATTCATTGCAATGTATAACTTTTAAACTTCGTTATGTTTTCATATTTAAAAAGAAACAAGTGTTCGTTTTTAAAAAGACTTGGTTTGGCTTTTTAGGTTAGCAGCAATAAAAGCAACTAAAGAAGAATAGATCAGTTTAAATTTAATATGGAAAATATGCAATAAGAGTAAAACGCATGTCAGCTCTTTTATTAAAACTATATTTTGGTTGTTCAAAAGAAAGATTAAAATGTTAATACAAATAAATTGTAAACTCAGCTACCTATATTTACTCGCCGTTAGAAAAAAAGTAAGGATTAGTAATTGATACCTAACTAAATTATTAAAATCTAGATGTTTTAACAAGTAGATTAAAACCGCTTTTCATAAAAAATGCTTTCACTGCACTAACCAGGGAAAAAGAGGTCCCCATTGCCCCCAAATAGATTGGAATTATGCCCGTTGGTCCGCAGAAGGTCCCTTCTACCACCCAAAGGAAAATCCAGTGGAAGCATTCCCCGATCTGCCCCCTGGGGACGCGCTTCCTAGAGGTTACAGACTTTTGACACATACTTTTAAGAAGCCACTTGTCATAGACTGCCCTGGATCCATAACATCTATAATAACTACAGGTTAAGAACAAATCACTATTAGGGCATGAAAATGGATAGACCTCAGGCACCGGAGCTAGCGGCCACAGTCTTCCGGATATTTGAGGAGGTCTGATCCTGGTGTGTGTGTGTGTATTATGGCAAAGCCTCGAGGGCTATCTGCCTAAGAGGAGGGATGCCTTCGTGGAGGACTTTCTAAGGGAAACTGGCTCGTATACACGTTACACATGGGGAAAACCACGAAAACACCCATGCAGCCAGCCCGTTCGCGGGATTCGAACCTCGGACCGAACGGTCTGATCCTGGAATCGTGTTTTAAATCATACGATCTTCTACTCTTAATTCATGGACCAGAGAAAACAACAATGTTTTCATTTTAATTAACTTTCAACCATGCACCCATTGTTTACTGTCTATAATTCATTCTAAGAAAATTAATTATATGAGAAAATGAAAATATTATTCATGCCACTCACCCCTATAAAAAATCAGAAAAAAATTAGCATATGACTTTAAAAAAGGCTCTTTTTAAGTTTAATATGGTTTAACAGTTGAGATTATCGATACAGATGGCCAATGGGGCATAGCAAAATATTTTTTTTAAATACTAGATAAATATACATTAAGATTAACATGAGAACATTATATATGTTTTGCATACTTGAAAAGTGAAAAAAAAAAAAGTCATGTAATTCTATAAAAGTATTTAACGTTTTTAGTTAGATATGTCATAAATTAAATGCATTTTTATTTAAATCAATCAGATTTAAAAATAAAAAATAATAACATTCCTAAGAACTTCATTTATTACTTTTAAATAGCTTAGTTTGTTAAACCATAACAGACAGATTAACTATGAAAGATAAATAAATGTCTTACATTACAGACCCGAAAGAAAAGGGAAGCAAAGCATTACAGTGGATCTATAAATCGTATTTCGAGACTAATAACCCTTTTGGACTCGTAAATAATACACAATAATATATAAATAATTCAATAAATATTCTTACCTGAAAACCGGGAAATTTAAGACCTTGAGGAAAGAGACCAGCTCTTGAACGATATCTGTCACTGTGACTGCTCATTTTAGAGCTAAAAGTAATCGCCAGATTCTTCTGTAAGATTTGGAAGATAAATGTCGCTTTTACCCTAAGGAATTCCAACTCATTTGTGAAAATGAAATGTCTTACAAGTCATTCAGTAACTATTAAATAAAATCTCTGTAGGTACTCTTGATTAAAATCTTATTATAAATTTAAGAGTTTTTTGCAATTTCCATCAAAAAGAGAACAAAACAGTTCGACCTTATTCGTTTTATACGAATTCTCTATGAAAAGCAAATTTCTTTTTAAACAGAAGTTATTAATACGAAAAATCTATAAATCTGGTAACTGAGAGTCGTATTATAGAGAGTGTGTGCGTCAGCAATATTGAATTGAGTCTCTTCATAAGTTCAGAATCGGTCCTACATCCAAGATCCATCTTCAGACTCAGTCGGGGAACTGCGAAACTTCAGTGACAGGCATGACTCTTCAGAAAGTTAGTCAGTCCTCCGACCACGCGGTGTGAGTGAGTATGGTTATTGACAACACTCCTAAGCTCTTTCCTCGGCATCAGACTCAACTGCACTCAACTGTATCGCTGTTCGACTACCGGCAGGGAAGTGAACAACAGTTAGAAGGCAGCACCACCCTGGCTATCCGGTTGAAAAATCCTATTAGCGGTCTAACTCCTCTCCACACTCCCCAGAACAGTTCCTCTCAAAACTCACCCTCTTCATCTGCAGCCGTCCCCTTCCCCCCTTTCTCCGTCAGAGAAGTGATCCCCCGTCTCGCCACGATTGGTTGGATCCACCGGCCTTTCTTTGGCCGAGATCAGAGTGCCGGGTGGCACGCTATTGGCCCGCGTGCCATCGGGTGGGCGGAGTTCCGGGTGGTCTCCGCGGTTTCGGAAGGTACTGTTTTGCGGTGGTCCGCGCGAGTTAAGTCAGTTGGCTCTCGCAGAGGGTGGGCCTAGTTTTGCCAGAAGTGGGACAGAGAGAATGATATCGGGGGGAAAGCTCTGTCAAAAGGGTGATGTCGGTCATCCATTATGGTGATTAGAGAGTGTTGAACGGACACCTTCTCGGTCTGCAGGGGGCCCCATGTATCTTTTTATCTCAAGTTCCCACGAGAATGATCCTTTTCTTTCCGGTATTGCTTCTAATTGAAAGGAAAGAATAAAGATGTCACATGTGAGGAAATGAAGTGCTACATTGGGTCCACGACTTATGCTTTAGGTTGGAATTCCTTAGCACTTTTTTATTTATTATTTGGCGGATTCAGTTTCCCACTCAAGAGCGCTGAAATTTACTCATCATTCATTACGCAAAGTTGCAAAAGTTCTATTGTATATCAGTGTTAAGTGTTAAGGTTTTTTTTTTTTTTTTTTTTTTTTTTTTTTTTTTTTTTAGGCGAAAGGGCGTTAGTCCAGAAGGGCTACTAATTTCGTTCTGGCATTTTGCATTGGTTCACTGTAAATGTCGGTTCACTTTTCAAATTGTTGCCACCAAATATTATAGCCTTGTATTATATTTAAAGAAATTAAATAATGGAGAATCTGCATAAATATGTGTATGTTTCTCGCACTGCAGAGCTTAAATTATCGCAGCCCACTTCTTCCGGTACTTCTTAATTTTTGGGATAATTCATAATTCTAGCCGGAGCGCACCGGAGCCCTAAATAAGAATTCTTTCATGTAACCTGAACAACAATTTCAGTAGAAATTTGATCTTGAAAATTATATTTTTAGTAATAAAATTATATTAATAATCGCTTATCAAATTTTAATGTATCTCTTTGCATTTTATTAAATTTAAATTTTATTTAATTACTTTAACCATTAATTACTTAATTATTTTAATAATGATTTAATTTTTTAATTATTAATGATTTTATATATTTATTTATTCTTGTTCCTCTTTCCTGAAGGGCTCCAGTACTTCTAATTTTAAAAATTAAGTCCTGTCGCATTGTGATAAAACAACGGTACCTAGAGGCATCCGATTTTGAACAACGTAAATCTTCCAACGAATATGAGCATCTGGAAGCTCAAATTTGGAATTCGTTTTATTAACGATTTCATATTTTGTAAAACTTTAACGAATTTTTAATAACAAACTCAAGGATTTCAAAGCGAGTCATGGCAACATTATACAGAAAAAAAACCTTTTTATCTCCAGCGCGTGGAACTGTGTATCGGAAATTCTAAAGATATGCTCAATTAAAAATTATTTTGCGATATTGTTCTTGAACAGAATTTTATTGTTTAAGTACGAAGAACATTATATTTAATAAATAAAGGCAACATGCAAAATGTTAATAAAGCGCCCGTAACTTAAAATCTGAAACCCTTCAGATTTTTTAATTGTTTAGCCTGTAAGCGATTTTTTATGTTTTTGTAAACGATTGTCATTCATTTGTGGTTGCGAGAAAGTCGTTTATTTTAAAAGCTTTATTTAGTTAGTGAACGAAAATAATTAATATGCATACAAATTTCAGGCTTCTTGAGTATTACTTTAAATTTTTACGTATTTTTCCTACTCCAACCTTCATGATTTGAATGCGCTGCAACCATAAGCACAGCTTTCAGCAATTTTCTTTCTGTCTTATAATCACCAGGAAAATTTAAATAGGCAATATTGTGTTTGTAAATACTTTATCTAGTTTATTATTACAATTGATTCTAACTAGAATATGGTTTCTTAGCAAATTAAATTAATAATAATAATAATAATAATAATAGCTTTTTTTAAAATGAATATTTAAATTCCTTATGCACAGTCACCGAGAAAATTTAAATAATAGGCAATATTGTTTCTGTAAATGCTTTATCTTGTTTATTATTACGATTGATTCTAACTAGAATATGTGGTTCCTTAACAAATTATATTATTAATAATTATAATAATACCTTTTTCTTTTCTTAAACTGAATATTTAAATTCCTTGTGCACCACATAGTATTTATTACACAAGGCTTACAAAGGTCAGTTAAAGAAAAAAACGCAACAACCCAACACAAAATAAAATAAACTGACAAATTCACAGATGACGCCCAAGAGATTAATTTACAGAAAAAAGAGAATGCCATTTTATATTGGACAAATATGTGAAAAGGAAAAAGACATATAATGTTCATAGAGTTTAGAAATGAGTTTTTTTTTCGTCCTTCCGTAAGCTTTGAACAATAGAACAACAAATGTTCGACATTTTGCACTCGCCCGAAACTGCAAGAACATAAATCTGTGTTAAATAACCCAGATCTTTTCAGATATATAAAAATAGCTTATTCGATAAATTAATAATAATTGTAAAATTTCACACAATTACAAAGATCCAAATTGGTTTTACAATTTTCTAATAGATCTATGTCTTACTTAAGGTTTTTCTTGAAGTATGACTGATTTCTCACCTTTCTTAAATAGATTCAACTTTTCAGAGTCTGAAAATTAATTTTCTTGTAACAGATATTACTTTCTATCTCCCCCCCCCCAACTTAATGCAAAGCGTACTTCTAGAAAATAGTCATGTGATCATACATTAAACTAAAATGAAGGGGAAAAGGCGTTTAAAATTCCACCTGTATTTTGCTTCATCGCGAAGTCATAAAATTTAATTATCTGAAACAGAAACATTTTACATATTTTTCAAGGCAGTAACTTGATTGAGTAAAAATCTTGATTTACCCATTCAGAACACTCAATTCTCTGCAAAAAAAATTTTTGAAACTTGAGTATTTGCAACAAAAAGCGTAAAAGAATTCTTTCCACCCCACCGCCTTTCTTAAAATGTTCTCTGACCTCCTCTTTCGCACTTTTTTTTTTTTTTTGATTTGTTTCGTTTTATGGATAAGCAGCTTATTTTTTGTTAACTCAGTGCAGCCTTTGTGCAACTATACATGCCAGAAAAAGAGACATTGCACATGTGTCTGTCATTTGGTCGCCGTCTCGCATTTCATAAGACAGCTCGCTATTTTTTACGTTTTTACTGAAGTTATGCAATCATGCATTACAAAACGATAGCGGATTTCCTAAACCTCAACGGAAATTGCCTCTTTCTCACTCCCTCCGAACTGTGGGCACTTTTTTTTTTTTTTTTTTTTCCACTAGCCACTCCTAAAACCGTAGGTGGTGGAGCGTGACAGTCGTTTCCTCCTATGAATGGGATGGACAGTTACAACCAAGATTTCTCCATGATTCGAACCCGAGACCTTCGGTATCGTAGTCGGCATATTGAACTAGCTTATATAGACTTTTATGACTACTATCTTCCAATGTCAGAAGAGTAATTGATAATTGACTACTGTACTAGCAATTACTCTTCTGACACTGGAAGATAGTAGTCATAAAAGTCTATATAAGCTAGTTCAATATGTCAGCAACAGAGTATGTGATGTGTATGTACAATATGTAATTTTGTATTTATGCTGTGCCAGGTTCTCATCCATAAAGTTCGTACTGTATTCGAATGCTGTAATGTATATGTACATGTTTATATCTTTTATTTATGGTACCTAATTTATACTAAGGATCACGCGTACCTCAATGGCATGCTTCTTTTAAACTTTAACTATCATGATAACGTATATGAATGGGTGTATATATCAATATGAGTGAGAGTATGTATACTTTTATTTGTTTCGGAATATATATGTATGTAAGTGTGTATATGTCTGTATCTGAGTTGGAATTTATATGTGTATTATTTTGATTGTACTCTTCTTCAAGTGCCTTGTATGTACATGTATATTTCCTTGTACCTTGTTGTAGTCTTCTTCAGGTGCCTTGTATGCACATGTATATTTCTTTGTACCTTGTTGTACTCTTCTTCAAGTGCCTTGTATGCAAATGTACGTATATTTCTTTTTTGCATTTTATAAATGTCGTCTGCTCACCCGGGGCTGCCCAGGGCTACGGCCTGGCAGATAGTGGTTGACTCCGGCCGAGTTGGTAACCAAATCTGCAGGGATATATCTATACCTGGGTCGGAAGCCAACTCAGCGGTTTACTTCCTTGACCACTATACCATCGGGGCAGCGGAAGTTGCATTATATAAGCAGTTTGTTAAAATGGACTTAATTCCAATGACACGAGAAAGAAACATAAGCATCTGATATTTCTCATGTGCATAACATCACTGGCATCGCCCCAAACCCGATTCTGAAGATAATTACAATTTGGCAACCCAGATTAAAACTAGTTTGAGTCGTTCTGAGACACATAAATAAGAAGTAATGTTATGAAGATTAAAAGAAGATTAAAGGAACTGGCAGCGGGTATTCGAAACGTCTTGGGATGAATAAAAGCATGCAAAAATGTAAAAATGTATATAAAATTTCGCTTTTAAAATTTTCTAAAATCTAAAAAACTCCTAAAATCTTATAAAATTTCATCCTTCTTTACATTTCTACGAAGGAGAAGGTTAGGTTAGGTTATTGGAATACAACAAAGCACACGATTGCTATCTGCCTAAGGAAAGGCATGCCGTCGTACAGGATTTTCTGGAGGAAATTGGCTCGTATTCACGTTTATTCATGAGAAAACCGCGAAAACCAACCATCAAGTATCCCGATCGTTCTGGATCGAATTCACAGTTTTCAGCGGTCATAACCACATTTCGCTGCTTCGTGCTGTGAATCTGGTTAAACAGCTTAAATGTTTCATAACAAATTGTTAGATTCTGCTGTATCTCGAAACTTGAGCCAAAGTCCCGCAGACCCTATACTAGAATGGAAGCCACTTTCTTGGCAC